TATCCCATCCACTACTGATAGCCCGACTAAAACTGATCTTATTCATATAGATCTCTTTTTTGAGGATTCTGGTAATGATACCTCTCCTCATGTTCAATCAATTTGTACTCATAACTCTGCAAGTACTGGTACTTTACTCTCTACCATACATGAAACTCCATTCTCATCTATTGCCCCTTAAGCTTCATCTAAGATTATGGATTCACCTTCACGTCAGTCCATTCGTATTCATAAGTCTACAAAACTACCAGATTTTATTTATTCTTATTATTCTTTATTGTTTACTTCCTTTTTAGCTTTTATTTATTGTCTTTTTAATCCATCTTCCTATAAAGAGGCAATTCTTGATCCATTTTGGCAGCAAGCTATGGATGAGGAACTTTCTGCTTTGCATAAGATAGATACTTGGGATCTGGTTCCTCCACTTCCTGGTAAGAGTGTTGTTGGTTGTCGTTGGGTGTATAAGATCAAGACCAATTCTGATAGGTCTATTGAGCGATACAAAGCTAGGTTGGTTGCAAAAGAATACTCTTAATAGTATGGTATGGACTATGAGGAGACATTTGCCTCGGTTGCAAAAATAACTACTATTGTACTCTTATTGTCATAGCTTTGATTCGTTAGTGGCATATTTCTCAGCTTGATGTTAAAAATGCCTTCTTAAATGAAGATCTTCAAGAAGAAGTTTATATGGCACTCCCTTCTGGTATTTCACATGACTCTGGATATGTTTAATTTCAATCCTTAAACTCATCAATCAATCCTTTTATTTATGTGATAGACCTGCATTTAGGATGAACATTTACCGTGAATTAAAGGTATATTATATTTTTAGACTTGCTAATATAAAACATGCTTTTGTTAGGGAATTTAATGATACTTTAGGTGCAATATGATGACATAAATCCTTAATGAGAATGCACTTTTAAGTACTAATCAATGGTCTCAAATAAACACCCCATGCTTGGTTTGAGAAATTCTCTGACGGAAAGAGACGTATTTTGTTCTTTTAAGAAAAGACCCCATGCTTGGTTTGAGAAATTCTCTATTGTAATCTCATCTCTTGACTTTGTTTTTAGCAATCATGATTCTACTTTTTTTATTAAGTGCATTGATGCAGGTCATATCATTCTATCTTTATATGTTGATGGCATGATTATTATTGGTGATAACATTGATGGTATTTCAGTTTTGAAGACAGAGTTAGCTAGATGATTTGAAATGAAAGATTTAGGTTGTCTTTGATATTTCCTAGGTATTGAGGTAGCATGCTCACCTAGAGGTTACCTTCTTTCATAGTCGAAATATGTTGCAGATATTCTTGAGCGGGCTAGACTTCTTGATAACAAAACTGTAGATATTCCTATTGAGGTTAACGCGAGGTACTCTTCTGCTGATGGTTTACCTTTGATAGATCTTACTTTATATCGCACTATTGTTGGGAGTTTGGTATATCTAACAATAACTCGCTCAGATATTGCACATGTTCATGTTGTTAATCAGTTTGTTATTTCTCCTACTACTATTCACTATTAGTTTGTTATTTCTCCTACTACTATTCACTAAGTAGTTGTTCTTTGTATTTTGCGATATTTTCGAGGTATAATTTTTTAGAGTCTTTTACTTTCATCCACCTTTTTCTTGGAGTTACGTGCATACTCTGATATTGATCATGGTAATGATTCCATAGATCGCAAGTCTATTATCAGGTTTTGTATTAGGTGCTTCTCTTATTTCTTGAAAGAGCAATAAACAATCTATTGTTTCTTAATTATCCACCGAAATAAAATATCGTGTCATGGCATCTACTACCAAAAAGATTATTTGGTTATGTTGGTTACTTACTGATATGGGAGTTTCCTTTTCTCATCTTACTTTTATGTATTGTGACAACTAGAGTTCTATTTAGATTGCTCACAACTCGGTTTTTCATAAGTGAACTAAGCATATTGAGATCGATTGTCATCTTACTCGTCATCATCTCAAACATAGCACAATTGCTTTACCTTTTGTTCCTTCTTCCTTGTAGATTGCAGACTTCTTTACTAAGACACATTTCATCTCTTGTTTTTGTTTTCTAGTAGACAAACTCTCGAGCTTTATTTTTTGTTTCTTTTTCTTTACAGATTGCAAATTTCTTTACCCAGGCACATTCCATCTTTTGTTTTTGTGTTTTGGTTGACAAACTCTCGATGTTTCTAACTGCCACATCGTGAGTTTAAAGAAAGATGTTAAATAATATTTATATAGTCTTATTTATTAAGAGTAGAATAGTACTTTCAATTTAACCTATTTATACTTTATTTATTTTTAGGTTAAACTGAATGATTTATATTTTATTTATTTTTAGGTTAAACTGAATGATCATAATATACAAATAATTTAAAATTTTATTTTTTTTATATTTAATTTTAATTATTTTAACACAAAGATAAGAGTGACTGATGGATTGATGTCATTACGCCCGAGGAAAATCTGGAGATGGAATTCTCATATCCAGCAGGCACCAGGCTAGTTATGGATCTGTTCTTGTCACGTGCATGCACATGCAATAGGACACAGATTAAGGTACTAAGATGGTTTGTGCTTTGGCAAATACGTTCAATTTGTTAAAAGGAGCCTTTCATTCTTGCAGTCATTTGAAGCATCAAGAAAAAGGAGATCTAACCTCGTCTTGAAATTTGATTTTGCAGCATTTGGGCCTTCAACCAAGTTGATGATGAACAGATTACTCAGTAATCTCAGAAGGTACTTTCATCTACCAGTTTCGTTTGAGTATAGACCGATGCATAAACAATTTATTAAATGTATGGATATGCTTTGCTATATTTGTGTTTTCAGCAATTGCTCAAAGCATTAAAGTATTATTGGTGTCTGAAGAAATTATGGTCCTTGTTTACTAATCTGTTTTCTGTGGTTATATCATCATAAATTTTGATGAAAACTTTCCTCTGCAAATCCATTATTGTGCTTGCAACTCACCCTTAGAAGATTTTGTGCGTAGTTTATGCCTTCTTTTTTTTTTTTTTGTTAAATCATTTATCGTTATAGCTGTTCCTGCCTTTCTAAAACAATAATTTGCCGATTTGCACATCTTTGTGCAATATATGTTTTTCGCTGTTCTTAATTAACAGTGCAAATTCTTTTTGGTATTTGCCTGTTCGCTAAAATTATACACATTTGTTCTGTTGGAAAAGAGGAGTGGAAGTCAGCTTTCTCGTGAGTGTGATTAGTTAAGAAGCATATCATGATTCTAACTTTGCATGATTGAATTTTCAGCCATTTAAAATTGTGATACAAAGCCTGGCGGAAGAACTTTCTGTGGTGCTCCTGCGGCAATCCCATGCTGCTCAAAGATCAACCCTTTTTGACCATTTCATAGATGAAAAGCCTGTGCACAATAAACCACACAACGTCAAGTGCAGACAATACCCCCTTGCAGCAATGCCTCGACATGGAATCGGTAATTTTTCAAAATCAAAGACGCTGAAAAGAATACACGAACTTGTGATAATTGGGTTTCCACATCTTTCTGGTAATTAACTTCTGTTTTACTTTAGTTCCACATCTTTCACATGTTTCTGGTAATTAACTTCTGTTTTACTTTATCTTTACTAAGTCTTTCGTATCATAAACCAATTTATTTTATTTTTTTCATAATATAAACATATTTTTAGTTATGGTTTACGAGCAGATAGTCACTCTCAAGAGCTAAACTAGGAGGACAAATTCATCAACTTAAGATCTCCATCAATCACACACTCACATACATTTAAGTTGAAAATATAAATGGTATGATTTAAATTAGAAATATATTTTTTCTAATTAATTTTTTATCACCTGAATATTATTAGTTGAACCACTTGATTATTATTAATTTAGCTAATAGCTCAGTAGCAACTTGTGATGTACATGTGTCCAGACTTAGCAACCATAAAATGGTGTTATATAAAGTGTTTGAAGTAAACCTCGCACTGCTTGTGTTTATGTGCCAAAAGATGGCAAACTTCTCGGGAAAAAGAAAAGAAAAGAAAGAACAAGTTTCCTGTTTTCGAATGGTCAAAATCAGTTATCTGCATGTTGAAAACTTGTAAAGATACATTATTGCTGATAATGAAATGGCTCTTCCTGTGGAAGAAGGGGTGCCCAAAATCCAGGGTTACTCTTCCACATGTTGATGGGTCGTGTTTTCTTTCACTCTGATATTTCTTAGATTTTGAGCAACTTGGAAGGTATTGTCTCATCAAGTTGTTGTTTGATCAACATGAGTTACATTTCCTCGTTTAAATGTCAGTGATTCCATGTTGTGCTCATGTGTAAGGATGTTCCGAATGCTTGGCTGGCTTAATTTTGTAGGCATGGCTCTTTAATTACCAGCAAACAATACTAATTTAGTAAACATCTTAATATTAATCATGAAATTCTTCATGAATGGATTGAGTTTTAACATGTTTTTTTATTAAAATTTTAATTTAATTTAATTTAATTATTTTTTATATTTCAAAATTGTTTTGATTTACTAATATTAAAATAATTTTTTAAAAAAAAATATTATTTTAATATATTTTTAATAAAAAAATATTTTAAAAATTAATTGAAATTACTGCTTTAGCTTTGTCCCATCCATTTAATATTAAGGGTTATGAGTGCATCAACATTATTTTGTCTTTCTTTCTTCTTCTTTTTTTTTTTTTTTTGAGAGAGAGAGTGTATCTCTTAATTTGAATATGAACATGAGCTAGAATTAAATGTAGGGTTACTAACGTTGCAGGCATTGTAAAGTCACCTCCTAAATGTGTATCTTGGTTAAGGATTTATTTGGAAATCGTAATTATAATTATGTTTTAAAATATTTTTTATATTATAATATATTATAATAATTTTTTTATTTTTAAAAATTATTTTTAATATTAATATATAAAAACGCTTCAAAACAAATAAAATAAATAATTTAAAAAAATATATTTTAAAAAAAAATAGCATTAGAATCACATGTCAAAACGCTCTCTAGAATACTGACGTGAGAATAAATGTTTGATTGCGGGTCAAGTGGTGTTGCTCTTCTTCAACCTGCCGTGCCAGATGAGCACCAGCCTGTAACTTGTTAGTTGTTACAGCAATATATATTACATTAATTAAAAAAAAAAAAAACCCAGATTGATTAGACACCTATATTTCTTTCCCAACTGTGGTAACCCAGGAGTCCTTTCTTCCATTAAATTCATTTATTTTCTGCAGAGTTTGAAACCATAAACAAGTCAATTGACAATTCAAAGGACATCATTATATTGACAAATGCAAAGTGCAATTATGGATACTACGACGTCATTGAAGATTTTGTCTCCTTCCCAATCTGCATTGGATTCCAAACAAAACACCTCTTAACTTGAAGGGCTAGATGTAAAATAGACATGGCATAATTTTCTTGATTGGTACAATAATGTGAAGGAAATCTTCTTTTCCTTTTTCCTTCTCTTCTTTTCCACGATCCATGTGACCTCAAATTCATGTTACTCCGAAGACTGCACTCTGCAAGGGGACATATTGCCTTCTACTGTGTCACCATCACTCGCATATATCTGATTATATATATATATTGCTGTTCCTCAAGGCAAATCGAAGATGCTGTACGAGTATGGTGAAAATAAAAGAAAGAAATAAGAGAAACAAAATGAAAGTTTTCATGTTCCCTTACAGTTTACCAATTTTTTTTTCTTTTGCTGATGACATTATGAGGTTCCTAAAATCCCAAAACTTCCTGTGACCTTAACTTTAGCATTTATCAAAACTACCTTTCAAATAATATTGTATTGGCACCTAACATTCATTTTCCTTGTTTACTGTAGCAAAAACTAAAATAGTATGAAAAAATCATTGTAAATTAAAAAAAAATTATAGATTATAATAGTAGTTTTACTTTTAGTTTTTTTTTTTTATTTTTTGGCATGAATGTTGATAAGAACTTTGAGATAAAAGATTAATATAAAGATTAAATAATAATAACAACAAATGTTAAAGTTAGAGGATTCACTAATGGTATGTCAAATAAGTATAGTATAAACTCTTGTTATTCAATTAGAAACCATACACAAAAGAGGTTCTAATCAAATTATAAATTGTTAACATGATTACATTAGTTATCTTATTCGATTAATGCTAATACTTATAAATGTTGTCAGACATTCATGATTATAACTTATGTTAATAATAAATCAAGTTCTTTTCACAACATAGATGTAGGTTATACCATATGGTTGAGTTATGAAAGTACCAAATATTTGAAGTATCAAGTGTTATATAACATAAATCTAGATTAATCATTTAACAAGTAAAGTATTAAAGAGTGAATAAGATGGCAAATACACAACATGTTAGTATCAAACATTAAGGTCCATGTTGAGTTTATATTATGCCTAACTCAAGCATGGGTCAAAAAAATTAATTTTAAGAAAAAACTTGATTAGACTTCAAAAACAAATACTGCCTCACTCAAGTAAGATTTTTTATTTATATGCATTAGAACTTAACTGCAAACTTTTTTATTTATTTACAGAACTTATTTTATAAATTTTTTATATTCAAAGATGAAAAAATAGAAGAAAAAAATGTTGAGTTCTAAGTAATTTATTTCAAGTTTTTAAAAATAAACTTTCATTTTTTGTGTGAATTGTGGATAAAAACATGTATAATGAAACTAAACATATATAGTTTAGTATTGTTAAAACAAATATAAAATAATATTTTCATCACTGAAAAATTACAAAGGACCATCCATTAAATAATTTTTTTTTCTTTGCGTTTCATTAAAAAAATATAAAAAATAAAAATTCATAAACGAATAAAGAGAAAAAATAGAGAGAGAGAGGAAAAAAGAGAAGATAGAATTTCTATTAGAAAAATAACAAATTCATAAATATAAAAAAATAAATTATTTTAATAAAAAGATATTATTTGAATTTTTAGATTTAAAATGTTAAATTAAATTTTGTGATGATTTGTTATTTGTAAATAATTTTTAAACTTGGATTCTGTTTAAAATATCTTAAGAATAGTATAAATGTTCTTTTTTATATATATAAATATATATATATATATATAAAAATCTCAAAGTTTTAATTATCATATGCTCAGATCCAAGTCATTTGGATTTAGGATAATTGCTAAGTCCATGCTCTCCCGGGTCATGCCAAATCCTGGCATTGAGTTAAAATAATATAATTAAAAATAGAGGAAAAAAAGAAAAAATGAAAAAGAAGATAAAATTTTTATTGAAAAATAAAGAAAAAATAAAAAAGAAGATAAAATTTTTATTGAAAAAGTAGATAAGTTTGGTTTCGTAGCCTCCCTAACCTAAGCAATTAAGCCCGAGTAAAAAAATAAATTATTTTAATAGAAAAATATGATTTGACTTTTTAGATTTAAAATTTAAAATTAGATTTTTGTAATAATTTGTTGTTTATAAATAATATTTTAACTTGAATTTATGTTTAAAGTACTTGAAGGATAATTTCAATATATTTTTATAAAAAAAATAAAAAAAATTATTAATATTAATATTTTAATCATCACCTGCTCAAATTTGGGTTTGACATGGTGTTAGACCCAAAAAACTTGGGTTTGACATTAATTTTAGATCCAAGTTTTTTGGGTTTGGCATGACTGTTAAGTCCAAAAATTTTAAAATATTATTTATATTTTTAATATTATAAAAAAATTTGATATTAATTTGTTGTGTAACGCAGGAAAATATTCTAATTAGATTCCAAAAGATGTTTTCTAATTATTTTATGCACCAATCAAGATAAATTCCTTTTCTAGACTATTTTAAAAGCACATCTCTTCCATTTAAAATAAAATCTCTCACTAAATATGTAGTGCCATACAATTTTCTTCTTCTTTTTTATTTTGTAATTTTTCTTATTTTCTACAAAATAATAATGTCACTCAAAATTTTGCGATGTAAGAAATGGTAAAAAAAAAAAGTTAAATTGCAATCCAACATAAAATTTGAGTGATTTAGGGTTTTTTTCTTTTCTTTTTAACACCTTTTATCAAGATTTTTGACAAAATAGTATAGGGAAAAAAGTTTTAGGTAAATAGTATAATTATTAAAAACATAATGATCATTAATCATGTTTTTAAATTAAAAGTGCAATTTATATGAAACACGTAAATTTCAATATATATATTTTTTTATCAAATCTCGAATTAACTCTCATTATAAACCCTATACTATTCTAAACCAAAATTTACCTCAAATTAACCATAAATCAAACCCTAATTTTAAATTAACTCTAAACTAAATCTTAAAATATCCTTGCCCCAGATTAATTGAAAGCTATTTGTATTTTTTTTTTGCTCAAACTATTTTATTTTTAAAATATTTTTTATTCTATATTATTTTAATAAAATATTTTTTAAACAGTATCGAAGTTAAAAAAAAAAAAAGAAGAAGAGGATTTAACTAAAATTTGGCGAGAAAGCCAGGTGTTGCACGATACTGGACAAAAG